GCTAACTTTGTTCTTTACTTTGTTAGTTAGGAGTTTAAATTTGTTTTCTTTCTTTGGTAAAACTGGTAGTTCTTGAAATTTCTTGTCTGCCAAATATTTCTGTCATGCCACAATATTTTCTAAAACTTCTATTTTCTCAAAGCTTTTTCTAAGTTGTCATTTTTTTCTTTGCTTTGTCTTATTATCCACTGTTTAGCTACTTCAAGAGCCTCTAAATGACATCCAGATGTTTTCTCCTCTAATTCTAATGCTTCTTCCAACTCCTTTTTCTCTTCTTCTAATGCCTTAATTTTCTCTTCATATTCTTGCTTTTGTTCAGTAAGTTGGTGACCTTTCTCTGTATACCAACCAAGATATTCTAAGCATTTTGAACCTAGTTGATTTGAACTATCAAGAAATCCCTCTAACATTTCTTCAATGGTGATATTGTCAAATCAAATTCTTTTGCAATCCTTAGCTCACTCTTTTGTTTCATTAGGATCTACTGCCATTCTTAACTTTCCTTCATCTAATCATTTCTATTTAATGGATTCTGCTCCTTAGTCAGTATTATAATTACTACATTAATTGGTGTTTATTGTATATATTGACAATTAATAATTATATTTATCAACATAGCTTTTTTGAAGAAGTAAGGAGGATTGGAGCCCAAGGTTATATCCCAAATGAGACAGATGTTTTACGTGCAAGAACAAAGACCACAGGAATAATGGAAACGAGGTTTAATATGGGTCAATTAAGCATACAGTAGGTTATCGTAATAATAATTAATAATAACAATTATTATTTATTATTAATATATATGCGATTTATATATTATAAAAACATATTTATCTATATGTGTAATTTAGTATGTTTGATGTGGGAGGTCAAAGATCAGAAAGAAAAAAATGGATTCATTGTTTTGAAGCAGTCACATCAATCATTTTTTGTGTTGCGCTTAGTGAATATGATCAAGTTTTACTAGAAGAATCTGGACAGGTTATTATTTTTATTAATTGGTGGAGGAATAAAAAAGATTATTAATTAATCAATCAAATTAAATCTTATTGTTATTATTATTATTATTATTATTATTATTATTATTATAGAATCGTATGATAGAAAGTCTTGTATTGTTTGAATCAGTGATTAATAGTAGATGGTTTTTGCGAACATCCATCATTTTATTCCTTAACAAAATTGATTTATTTAGGGTAAAATTACCCAAAGTTCCTCTCTCAGATTATTTCCCTGAATATACAGGTAAAATTTTTATTAATATATATGTATTATAATATTAAATAATGTATGTATATATATATATTTATTTAATATTATATGTAGGTGGTAATGATATAAATAGAGCATCAAGATATATATTATGGAAATTCACACAGACAAACAGAGCAAATCTAAATATATATCCTCAGTGAGTATTTATTTAAATTCATTTGTGTGGCTAAAGATTTATTAATTAATATTATTAATTATATTTTAACAGTGTTACACAAGCAACTGATACAAAAAATGTATGATATTTTTTTTATTTTTATTTTTTTTTTTTTGAATTTTCCATTGATATTTGCTAATATTTATTTAATTTTTATAAAATTTTTTTCAATAAATAAGATACGGTAGGTATCAGACATCTGATATGTTATTTACATATATTTTAATTTCAAGTTATTAATATTAATTAATATATATCACATCATAATTGTAGGCTTGTATTTGCAGCAGTAAAGGAAACCATATTACAAAATGCTTTAGTGAAAAGTGGTATCCTATGATATATATATATATATGTGTGTGTGTGTGTGTGTGTAAATTATATATGAATGTGTTTTTTATTTTAAATATATTTTTTTCTGTAATATTGAAATATTTTGTATATTGCAATTTTACTAATATTTTTCGGATGGAGATTATTTTAGAAAATGCGTGTTTGGGTGTGGGGGAGAATGTGCAAGATCAAATAAAGCCATATTATATTTTGGCTATATATATATATAACATCAAATGATTTCTTTTTGTATATTGTTTTAATAATAGCAATAATAACGGACTATTTGTTTATTATTAATATTTTTTAGTTTTTTTTAGAAAGACGAACAATTTTTTTTTACTTTTTTAATAATTACGGTGTGTAATTTTATTTTAATTTTAATAATTAATAATAATAATAATAATAATAATAATAATAACAATAAGATTTAATTTGATTGAT